GGCCCCCTCCCATCCCTGCTCCCATTGGCTCGGGGCAGGCTACACCTTTCACTTCCCTGCCTATAAAATCCAACTCCTCACACCCTATTAGCATATTCATCGCCCTGATGACGGAGGCAGTATGACCTCTGAAACGTTGGTTAACATCGACCAGACTACACAGCGCAATAACCCAGAAGACAGAAATCTTCATATGTAATTTTGTGTGGTATAAATTCTTCTCGGGCTACTAGCCGTGTAAGGTGACTTAGTCGCTGTGAAAGCTTCAGATCAAACAATTTTGTGCATTGTTTATAATGTATTGACATACTCATAAAATGATTTTAATTGATTTAATTGATTTTATGACATGGTGCTCTGCTGTTGGTATGGTTTATTTTCCTGCATGTGTTTGTTTCAGGACATTAGCAACTTTTGTGTCCAAATCCACTATCATGTCCTTGGATTGGGTGACAAGGAATGAGCGCTACTTTATAAGTGGCAACAAGCAAGGGCTGGTTCGTCTGTATGATACACGAGACAACCGCATCATGTGGGAACTAGGTGGTGATGCTGCAAGCCCTTTGAAGGACACCAGGTCTGTGATTAAATCTTGTTGTGTGGTGGTTAAAAATTTTGCAATGAGGTGCTCTCTGATTTTTCACACATCACTGGATGGAGTATGAAAATTTTTTTGTGTGTAATTTTCAAAATGTTAAATGTATGAAGATATTTTCAAGTAAAATTGAAAGATCTGTATTTTTTGTTATGTGTTGTGTATTAGAAATTGTGTGGAGTTAAATCCATGTAATGTAGGGGTTATACTCAACAAGGGAAATTTTTTGTGATGACTTTTAGTGTACGCTTCTCAGTTCCACATTGCTATGAAATACATGAAGTAGTTCTGGAGATGAAACACGTAAAATAACAATCGAAGGTAGACATTGCTTCTGTATTATGCTGTCATGTACTTATAATGTTAGTGAAGAGACTGATGTCGGTTTCAGTGTGTACATTATTATGAAAATGATTAGCCATTTTTCTCTCCAGGATCATGACGATCTGCTGCAGTCCCGTGGAGTCAACGTTTATCTGCTCGGTGGAGCTTCCTGCTCAGACTGTGGGCAAGTTGCTGCTCTTTGACATCAAAACAAAGAAACTGGAGGTTAGTTTTTGCATTACTTTTTCAGTTATAGTTTGCATGTGGTGATAAATAATTTGTGTTGAGGATCAAAATGTAGTTGGTGCCAATCTGAGTTGACTGGGTCTCTGACAAGTGTATTTCTGAAGCCCAGACTTCAGAGTTCCATTTATAACATGAAATCATTCCAGTATTGTTTCAGAATAGCAACCGTAGTATGAACTTTATTCTTGGTTTGTGTCGTCCCTCCACACAGAGGGCGCTGACGCTTGACTCGAACCAGGTGGGTGCGGTAGCCTCGTGCTGCACATTCAACCATAATGGACAGCTGTTGCTGGCAGGATGCAGCGATGGCAGCGTCAGGATCTTTGACTTACGTCGTAGTGATTGCATCGACTCGTGGACAGCTCACCAGGGTGAAACACTTGCCATTCAGTTGACTGCAGACTTCACATCCTGCTACTCTCTGGGATCAGACGGAAAGGCAGGTGTCTTTTCTGCAGCTACATAATCTGTAGATTGCTCTAACTTACGGTACAGGGCCTTCATTGGAAATATGTAGTGTGACCAGTGGATCAAAAACCGCAGAAAATGTATGGACTACAAGTGGAGATTCCACTTCTACCCCTGCTTCCTTTCTGATAAGCCACCCTCCTCTCTCTTACTCCTGCTGGCTGTGACCTTGTAGCGTACACTATTTTCAGACTAAACTTCAGTGTGTAACTGATATGAAGTACACTGTAAATAATGTGACGTGAGTGCACAGTGGCAACATGGCGTGACTTAGTTATGCTGATGTTATTACTGGAGAAGGTTG